TAGAAGCAGAAAAAGCAACCAGACAAAAAAAAAAATGTAAATGAGCAACAACAAAATGTGATGAAAACAGAGGTTTGGCCTAATCCTGCTATGACTGCCTGCATTAATATACCAATATGGAGAGTACTTGCTGTTCCCATCTGATAGCACCTATGAAGGACTGATTCTTTCATTGAACTCTCACAGTGCAAGACGCTGTTACACTGTGTGCTTCTGCCAGTTGGGCTGTGTGTCTGAGAAAGAGCAAGGGAAACCGACCCTGCATCGAATGGAAGAGGAGCAACAGCTGAGACTGGAGAACAGCTGTATCTCCTCTACGCCTGCACTGCTCCCCACCCCCTCTCTGTCAGCCCCTATCTCCCTGAGTGAGCCCCTCACACTCTTTTCTGATCTCCCTCTCCCACAAAGCAGCATGGCCAGGGGCTATGCTGTCTGTACACACACACACACACACACACACACACAATGTGCCTAACTTACACAGACACTACGAGAGGGAGCCTCTGTTCTCCTTAGAGGACGAGTACAGACGGGATGCGTGTGCTACTAAACATCTTCTATTGACTAAAAATAGGAAAGACATTGTTTCCAGCAGCAATGTCACCCTCCCTCTTCTCTTCCCAAATCCTTCCTACCCTCCCAGCTTTATAAGATTATAACTATGAGACAAAAGGAACCCGGATAAACACTGAGGTTATCCTTTGACATACAAAGCAACCTCAAACATTGGCCTGTCAAGCATATCTTTCTATGTACTTGTCATTTTGTCAGTTGCTGATGTTCTACACAGACTGTCCATGGTTGATGCAGAATCAAGTCTCATGTCTGACTGTCCTTCCGTTTGTTTTTACAGAAAACAAACACTGCCAAATACCTGAAATATACACAAGCACTGCAAATATTGTCTAAGTCTTGTTACTACTGCATGAAACGAAAACAAAATCCACGTTATGTGTGGTCAGAGGAAACAAATTCACAAAAGCTGAAATTTCATAAAAGTTGCTAAATGCCATATTGTGGGAATGTAATGCCGTCATGGTGTTAAAAAGGTACTCGTACCAATTTTTCATACATTTTAGCATATTTCACATAAAAGCACGACATTAAAGTTGAAATAAAATATTGTGACAACAAAATAATATACATCCAGTTTGACAGTTGTAAAGCACAGGCATGCAAGTGCAAATCTCTGTCTGCATATCGAGATCCATCCTGTGGGAATCCAAAGGAAAACAGGAAACAAGGTGTCTCAGTTGCACACAAATCTACACAAGGTCTTTCAGACGACACAGAAAGACATCTGCTTAAGAAGTGAATCATCTCCATTCACTCATGAAAGAGGTGCTGGATAGTAAAAAAGGAAGACAAAGATTCAAAATGTTTATTGTCATATGCACAGTATGGAAACGTGTTTCCCTGCACAATAAAATTCTTACTTCGCCGTCCACCCTGAATGTCAAACAACACAAGTGAGATATAAAGGGGAAAAACAGCACAAAACCTAAAGGCACTTTAAAGAGCGAGTGAAAAGAAATATAATCATATGCACAGTATAGAAACATGTTTCCCTGCACAGTGAAGAGTGGGACAGGTGGGGAGCAAGGAACACTATAGTTCCTTGTCTGATGTTAAGACAGGACAAAAAAAAATGCTGGGAGTAAAAGAAGACAAGAGGAGGAGAAACATAGAATCATGTTTGTCTCCATCTGATCTATTGTCTTTGGCAGGATTCACAACCAAGTTCATGAGTTTCCATGACATAAGCGAGGCTCAGCTCTTAGTTTAGAGTCCAAGCCAAAACACTCAGGAGCTGAGACCGACAGATGAGACTGTGTTATAAGACATCAAAAGGCTTGTCTCCAGCATAGATTCAGCCCAGTGGATCGGGACAATATGCAAGGGAAGTGGAAGGGTGTGGCATCTGTCTGTTTATGTACATTTGTGCCAGGGGGGTGGGGGTACAGCCTGGTTCTGTATCTGAACAATACCACAATACCCTTTTCACTCTAAACAGCACACTGTATTTAGACCAGGGTGCCCACACTTTTTCGCCTTGTGAGGTACTTTTCAAATGACCAAGTCAAAATGATCGACCTACATTAAAAATACTACACACACACACACACACACACACACACACACACGTATGAATGAGTGTCGTAGTTTTTATGAACAGTCAAAGTGCCACTCCACATTTCCGTTCTTCGGAATAGTGATGGTAGATTGACAGATCAAGCAAAGGCATTTTGAAAATAACGTCGCAAAAAAAAATTAGTCCTCCTCCCATTCCGCATGGAATGTTTTCAGTCTCTTACTTGATTCAGCTCCCCCACTCATTTTTTAACTAAGATATTTTTGAAAAAATACATTTTAACCAGTATTTGTTTATTATTATTATTAATAATATTAATAATATTAATACTAGGCCCTGAGATGGGTCAATGATTGGCAGCAACACTGATTTTGATGCTCTGGTTTGTTTGTTTTGTTTGTAAGGTCATGCCTTTAATTATGCACATCTTTTAGTCTAAAGACAATTCAATGGGCAAGTTACATATTAAAAAAATAAAATAAAATCACCCCCCAGATATAGTTGTCATGGAAGGGGAACTTAGCTATAGAGACCAAAAAAATTTTTGGTTCCAGGCTGTAAACACGGTTATTTCTGCTGTAAAACTGGGCATTATAACATGGGAATCTATGGGAATTGACTCCTGTTTGAAGTGAGCCTTAAGTGGCCATTTGAGGAACTGCAGGTTTTAACACTTTTGCATTAGCTTCATTTCTCAACCTTGAAGGTTGCTGCTGGATTAAGACCAGCAATCATACAACTTTAAATGCTGCTGAATGTGAGTATATGCAACCTGTTTATCCAAGCCACAGGACTGAGTTGGATTGGAAATGTTTGTGGTATACCCAAGTAAAATGATGCAGTCTAACAAGTGTCCTGCACAATCAGGTGTTTGCCAATATTTTTCTATCTTGTTTATAACAAGTGAAAACCAGGGCTTTCCTTCCCTAATCAAAGTCCACCTAGGCATTTTTGTCAACCTCATCACTTAAAGTCAGATTGATGTTCATTTGCTTGTGACCAAGATACAGCCTAATATATAAATCAAAAACTATCTTGACACAAGGACACTGTTGTTGCTCTGCACAGTAGTTTGCATGCTCCCCAGAGGGACATTCTACTGGAAAGAATACTCCATATACAGGACTAAACTCAAAATGTCATATCAGCCTTCAGCGGGCACAGCATTGCATGCTTTTTACTACAACTCACCTTTGACACACCAACCCCTGGGTGACCTGAGGTAATGTTGACTTTGAAATACATACAAACCCCAATCTCAATGAAGTTGGGACCTTTTGTAAAATGTAAATAAAAACAGAATACAATGACATTCTGGGGTCTGCGCAGTCGTATTTTGCGCTTTATAACGTCTGGACACCACAAACACAAGATATTTCTTGGTCAAACTGATAAACTTTGTTTTTTTGTAAATATTCACTCATTTTTTACAAAGCTACGCTGTTGTGAATGTGGCTTTGCATTGTCTTGCTGAAATAAGCAGCCATGTCCCTGAAAAAGATGTCACTTGGGTGGCAGCATATTTTGCTCCAAAACCTGGATGTACTTTTCAGCAGCAATGGTGCCTTCACAGATGTGCAAGTTACCCATGGGCACTAACACACCCCCATACCATCATAGATGCTGGCTTTTGAACTTTGTGCTGATAACAATCTGGATGGTCCTTTTCCTCTTTAGCCCATAGGACACGACGTCCATTAAATATCTTGTCTTTGTGGTGTATTCAATTAAATATGGGTCAAAAAAAATTTGCAAGTCATGGTATTCTGTTTTTATTTACGTTTTACACAATGTCCCAACTTCATTGGAATTGGGGTTTGTGGATTTTAAAAAAAGTAAATGTACAGATGAAAAGGGAGCCATCCAAGCAGTAGACAAGCAGGAATTCAAGTACAGCCACTTAGTTGAGAGATTACCACTGTATCTTACTACCATAACAAATAGCCAAACATACTACTCAGTACACATAGCCATCTTTCCATTTTGATAAGATCTGTTTACAGGCAGAGGGAACATATGGTGGATTCCAGGGACAAGACTTTATGAGGCAAAGAGTTACACATGCATATAACTTAAGTAATGAAAGCTTCTATGAAACAGTAGACGCCTGTGTGCTTGGAGATACTGATTTATTCAACAGGTTTTACTGCCACTGGTAGACAGGCACTCTGCATTTATAATCCTCATTGAATAGATCCTGGTCCTACTTGATGGACTGCAACTGACAGAAGATAACTAAAATATAATGAAGCAATATTATGCATATGAAGAAGGCTACATCAACAAGAACTTTAGCTTGATACTTCAATACTACACAGTCACAGAAGCCTGACCATGTATCAGGCAGGGAAGCCCTGTGTGTTCCTTAAATTCTGACTAGTCTATCTAATGCTCAATGCAAACCTCAGAGAATGAAATGTGACAGTTCAATATGAATGCAGTCCAAGCACTGGTGCTCTGTCAAATCCTGTTTCCAGCAGCATGTTCAACATTAAGGACCAACATGAATTTTTAAAGTTATTCTGCAGTGTGGATGGCAGCCATAGTGAGAGAGCAATAATAACTGGTAAGGTCAGAAAAGATTTGCCACTTTAAATCAGTTATGGTTCAGTACAGTTCCCCACAACCGTGAAGCGTTTACAAGTCACCTATATCCACAAAAGACACCATGAGATGAGAAAAAGAAAGGAAGCAAGGGCTTCAGGGATGGTTAATGTAATATGTTGGTGCATCATGATAGATACTGCCTTAGATTACTTGAACAGACAAACATGACAAGACTAAAACAGCATCAGATCCCACTCATAACAAGAACACATTGTGAAAAAGAAAATGAGAGCAAAGTAACACAAAGGAGACGCTGGGAATTAAAGAGGAGAGGGGGTAAGTTGAGTCGCAGGCCTCTCACTGTGTAGCCTTCACGTGTGAGCCACTCCCAGTAGTTAAATTCAGACTAAAATCTTCTCAAAGCTCCAGGCCTCCTGCTGTCGCTCAGCCTATTGTGGCGTGTGTTTAGCAGACCATGTCTCTGTGACAGAGAGAGATTCAGCAATCAGTCAAAAGTGATCCTCTGGGTACAGACTCAAACTCTGTTTGTGTCAGCAGTGCTTCATGGCCTCTACTTCCCTTAAACAAGAGCTGTGATTACAACACAGCAGGACCCATATGGCAAATACACTCATAACAATAAGGGGCTGTTTTGCGGTACTTCCTCAAATGCTGTTCAGTGTACAGCAACAAAGGCGCAATGCTCAGTCTATGCAGTGAAATCGACACAGCCTGCCTCTGAGATTTCTGAAGTGAAAGCTAAAGCACACATTCTGTCTGTCTTTCATCTCCTCACACATACAGTCATGCACAGTCAACTTGTCAAGTGCTAGCCAAGCTCATAACACCTGCTTCAGCAAACTGCCAGCAACATCAGAAACACTTCATACGGTATATAAAAAGTCTCTATCAAACACACCATCATAAAACATTATTATCAGTGATCCAAAACAACTTGTCAAATGCAAGGACCTTTCATATTTCTCCTAGAAGAAACAGGGAAGTTGGAAGGGTTTGTGAAGTCAACATAAAAACAAGAACAGAAAAAGAACACGGACAAGTAGCTCTGTGTTGGTTCTTGTAATGACAGAGCTGGGGTGATAAAGGCAGAGGAAGAGTGTGACACCATGTGACTTCGCACTTCCATCTGCACTGAAAGGATATGCCAGACACATGCATAAAGTTACCCTGGCAACTGAGCAACAGCACTGCTTGGAGGTCACACAGAAAAGGCTTGATGCAAGCCAAAACTGTACAGAAACCATGATATAATGCAGAACAGAGAAACCAGGGGTTGAACATGATGATGCAAAAGCCCTAGAATGTCTTATCCCTCTCTCTTGTAAACACACGGCTCGGATGCTGGTGGGGGGGTTCATTTCTCACAAACACATACACAGATGTAATCTCTAACTAATCACATTTGCAGGCCTTAGACAGAGCAGCTGCACCACAGCGCTAAACAGATGGGCCCATGTACATGAGGCATTTTTAGGATTAGCCCGGCCCAGAAGGTGGTTTGTAGAGCCACCAAGGGACAGTTTCTAAAACATCACTGGTGCTCAAGTGACACTGAGACTCTTATTCAAGCAGATGAAATCTCAAAGATGGAAAACTGGAACTGCATTTATGAAATATAACACGACTACCATTTTAATTAAGAACTGTTAGCTTATATCCTTGCAATAGATGATTATGTCTGTGAGGACAATTAAAAGTAAAAACTCAAACCAAGTGAGCTTCAGCAAAACCTCCAGGCACTCAGTGTTTCAGTTGGCAGGCAGATATGTAACGTGACATTTGTGTTTACAGTCAGGAAAAAGGATGAAGAACAGGATGAAGCCAAAAATACATTTTGATAATTTAGTGCAGCACTTGTAAATATACAGAACTTTTGCTGCTTAAGGCCAACAGTTCAAACCTCCACAGTGAATAAAGAACTGAATCTACCATATTTTACTGGATTCAAAGCTACTTGGGTAGATATTTCAGATGTATACTTTACACCCATTGAACACTGTCCTGCAGGCTAAACCTTTCCCTGAGAAAGTATAACAATTCATGGCTTTTTCCTCTGTTTATCCTGAATCTGATGAAGTACAAATGAAAAAGTAATTCCTTCTCTGACATATGGAGGACTGAGGACCTCTGGCATTTGGAAAGAATTAAGTCCCATCTCCTCTTCTGGTCAGAAATAAACACTCCATCAAACAATGCATTTAGATCTGGTATGACAGCTATTATCAACATTGATGAATAAATGCATTCTGTATCTGTTAAAAGACTGCTGATGACAAATGACACTCAGTCTTTTCTGCATAACACAACACAACCAGAGCACTGTAAAGGCATGCAAGTCACGAGTGTGAACCAATGACTTCTGGGTCATATGTTAAGTGTTGGGAACAGCAGCACCACACATCCTTACTGGATATAGATATGGAACATTCCTTTGAGCCCTCTAAAATTGGGTGAGTTGGACAAGCTACAGCAACATCACACAGGGCTCTGTGAATTCAGCTTCAAACTAGCTGGCCCACTCTTGTCCTTCCAGTGATTTACACATCTGTATTATTTCTGAATTCATGAACTAACATGCAGCTGTCATGTCACAAATGATTTTGCCACAATAGGGCAAACATACCTTCATGAGCTTCATCAGCTCCTAGCTGACAAAACAGCTAGGAGACTGTCCAAAGATGGATGGTTGTTAGTTCTGCATAATATTGCTTCATTTTAACTGACATTATTGATCAACAAATTAGACTACATTAATGATGGGAAACAGTTATTAAGAACACGGGAGAACAGCTTGCTGAGTGTTGGTAATAAAAAGGTTTAAATCTTTAGGAAACCCCTTCCGGCTGAACATGGGAGGAACGTCTGAAAGCTACCCTCATTTAAATAATTTCAGGCCATGCGGGTCAAAAACTGCAGATCAGCCCTTTACCAGACCCTGAATATCCTCACGGCTCATCTTTTGTTCCTGTTTTATAACCGAGATATGCTATGGCTAAGACAAGATAGCTATCGCCGTACGCAGAGTATTGTTCGTGGATGAACCCACGCCACACCCAAAGCACTCCCCGGAAGGCAACTGTGCAGGGGGCTCACCACCAATGAGCTATCCAGAACAGAGTGGATATGGCTGCTAAAAAAGCTTTTGGGGAGCCAACAGTACCAAGTGGTCGAAATAAAGTCCCTCGTCTCCCGAAACATAAGCAAACAGAAGCAAACACACTAAAACCTGAGGACTTGTAAAATGATAGGTCGCTGAATCTCTACACTCTTGTCTCAAACATTTCCATATTAGCATGTTCCAACTCTTGCTAGCTTGATTCGTTAGCTTGGTAAATGAGCGCATGATTTATTACTAGCATGATAAATTCTTTGGTGTGTGGTGAGGCGACCTTCACGTGAGCAGAGGGAGAAATAATGCCTATATAAGCCACTGCGCCCAGCCACACCATACAAACATGCATTACACAAACCTGGACTAGTCTCTGTGTTCAGCTAATCATTTCTCCCATATCTCTCTGTCCCCTCATCTGGGTGGATGCCGATTTATGTTGATAAGGGAGAATCCTACATATTAAAACAAACACACCCGAAGCCTTCGTGGGGCTTAATGTTACACTGGCTAGCTATCTCGACGGCTGGAGGGGGATTTTCTAAATTAAGTCGCTAACGACAACAAACGTTGCCTCATAGTGTCCTGTAACTCACCGAAGTGTGCCGTTTTCTTCCTTCTCTTTCTGATATTCCAGTGGGTACATCAGAAAGCAACAGACAGCTAAGAGCTTCAAGCTAACGCTCAGGACACGACGGTACGCCTCACAACAGCTGTGCTCTGTTTTGAATGAGAACTAAGGAGACGCACGACTAACAGGCGGAGCTACCGACGGACCAGTCCACGCATCAACCAGCTTATCTTAGGTCTTTATATTCAGAAAGCCTTTGTCCATGTCTACATGTTACACAGTTCATCAGTATCGTGACGGTTAAAATCTTGACATATGGGACTACCATACCCCCGGCTGTCAGTGACTGCAGTAAAAGCGCCCTGAGGTTTAAAAAAGGGCGCACATTTCATGCCTTTGGTTCCGACTCCCTCTTGTGGTCCAACCACCACGGTGCCTGGCCTCCTGCAATTATCCAGTATTATGTACAGTGGGATCTATGACAATGTCCCGCTTATTAACATAGACTGTATACAAAAATTATGTTTATACAGTGAATTAACTACAATGGGTTTTGCCAGATTTAATTACATTATATTTAATCTATTACAGTGGAGTACTCCAGAGCTATATCCAGTGGTATACCCTGCACTATAGCATACACAAAGGATGATGTACACCAATACTGAATAAAAAATTATGTACATGATAATCTGATGATTGCATGAGTTCAAACTAAACATTAACCTTTAAGCTTGTGCTAACATTTTCTATTCAACAAATCGTAAACAAAAGCATAATTAACAACCAAATACTATAGTGAATCAATATTTTTTATTGTTTTTACATGTATATTTGTAAACATTTGGCTGACACATTCAAACAAAAACAATGATCATTTAACAAATGTGTCACATTCATTCCCCAAATTTCCTTTCCTTCTCTAAACTGTACAGCTCCTTTGCTCGATTCTTCAGCTCTTCTGCTTTCTTCTCGTCCTTCTCTGTACCGTCCCCGAGTCTATACATGCGGCTTGCATTGGCGCAGCCATACACATGTCCCAGCTCACAAGCTCTGTTTGCATACTTCAGAGCTAGAGTCATATTTGGTGGCAGCCCTTTGGAACTGCTCTCAATGAACAAACCACTGAGGTTGAAGCAGGAAGGAGCAAAACCACCTGAGCAAGCCTTCTCATAGTACTGCTGAGCTGCCGTGAGGTCAGGTCCTCCGTCCATAGCTCGTCCATCACAGGCTAATAGACCAGCATTATGGCAGGCATCTATAGACTTCTTTCCTCCAGCACTGCAGGCGCGCATAAAGCAGGAGTAGGCTGCTTTTAGACAAGGAGTCACTCCACCTGGTGGGATCATTTAGGCAAAATGACAGAGGTCTTTATGCATCTTATACAGAGAAGTAATGTAAAAGCATTTAAATCCAGCCCTTGTTTAGTGCCGCATTCAAGATGTTATGTAAGTAAAAGTGCACTAAGATGTACCCAAGTACCACATTTTAAATTACTAATTGAATTGAATTTAACTATTATTGTACTCGCATGTAAAAAATATTCTTCTTTTTTCATTAAAGGCTTATAGGCTGCATGCTAAAAAAAAATAAGCAAACTGCCCATCACAATTTACAAAAGCACAGGCTGTTGCCCCAATGTTGCTGTCTGCTTGATTCCGTAAGCAAAGACCCTGTAACTCCCATTCCTCTCAAGTATCACACCCACATTTTATATTGTTTCAACTTGTGTTATTAACTTTTTAAAATTGTGAACTTTTAGAATTTTGCCACAAACACAAGAGAAGTTAAAAGATAAAGCAATAAGCTATGCTGCTGTTTCACCTTTTCCTGTGATATGGTAAACCCCCAGTTTATAGCAACTCTCTCCATGTCCATTTGTTTCACAGTTGTGTTTGAGCACTTGTGCTGCAGATTCATAGTTTTTTTTTATCCCTTCCAAGAAGTCTGCGAGTCGCTGGCACCCTAAGAAAGACATGTCAAAAGGATAAATGAAGGGGCAAAGGTAACTAATACATAATGTCACAAAGTCACCATCTTGTGCCGACATTCAGCACCATGGATCTGTGAGCTGTGCAGGTGCGTTACCTTCAGGATCCTTCTCGCTGTGGCACTGGAAGCTGTATTCCACTTCCAAATTGTCCAAATACTGCTTCACTTCCGCTTCATCTTTAAAGTTTATTAGTCCAGCCATATTACAACTTGACCGAGACTGCACGCTAAAGCCTTAGCTCCCACTACATCCACTGTACTTGTGACCTTGGTGAATGAGTAGATGGGCAATATAGAAAAGCGATAACTTGGATTAAAGATTTCAGTGGATGTAATTACCAGAGACCACAACGTTGTTATTATGGCGTACAATAATAACTCATATGACAGTCCTCCTTTGAAAAATAAAAGATCATGGTCATGATGTGTGTGACCAGATAAGTGACTTCCTGCTTTCCTCACAAGCTTCCGTAGTCCAGCCCCTTCTCTAATGTACTTCCAGTGTTGTGACCTTTGTTTACTCTGTCTAGTCAAAAATAGCCCTGCCTACCCGTTGTGGAAACTGTATTCACCAACTAGTTCCTTAATTCATAGCTTCGGTCGCTATAGTCATTAGTCGATACCTTTCAAACATGAATTCTTCCACAGCAGATAGCTGTCGGCATTTTTTGCAAGGAGACCAGTTTTCCTCAACGGACACGACAACAAGGGAGCTAGCTAGCTAGCTGGTCCGCCGCTAACGTTGGTCAGTCCTGTCGTCGCCCTGTCCTTCAGGTTCCTGTACAGTTAAATACGTTAGCACACCACCGCCAGACTCTACTACAGGTGAATACTGCGAACGGGAGCAGTGAAAACGAAGTCGCTCGACGGCCAGCGAACTAAGCTGCATGTTCTCTTGGTGAAAAAGACACCGGTCTCTGTTGCATAAGCTAAAAATTAGAGTGTTCCTAACCGTGGCCATGGCCTGTAGCTTCCTAAACATGGTAAGTATCGGTTTGACCTTTAGGTGATTTGTGTGACTTATCTTTATGTGGTCGGGTTATTACATGAAAATTACCTGCAGTCTCTCAACAAATTACATTAAATGCATCTACACTAGCAAATATATATATATTTTGTCTTCAGGATGAGGCATCTCCGGCAGCTCTGACAGACTTGTGCCTGACCTATGTGAGTCAAAACCTGGAGTGTTTTTGTGTGAAACGCCCTGATGGCTCCCTGTGCTTCAGAGAGGCTGTGCTCTTCCCACAGGAGTTAGCAGACCAGCTGTTGGCCAAGATGGCCGCTGAAGGTAAACCTGCACCATTGATGCTTTTTTACACAGTCAAGTCACCTAATGAACTGCCAAATACCAACCCAAGTAATCATCACTTCCATACACCTGGTTACTAACTTGGTGGCTTTTGTAGTCTTTCAGGAAAAAGAAAAAAAGGCAAAATATTTGAACAACTTAATCCCATAGTATGATGTTACCCAAACCAAAACCCAGTTATACATAAGCAGAGTCAGTATTGTGCAAACTCAGGCCTGTTCAGTTGTACATGAACCCAAAGATAAACCTTAACATGAAATTTTTCCACACCAGGTCTGTTGAATGACAGCACAGCGGGTGTATTTCGGAATTGTGAATATCTACGGCTGAGACGTGCCTGCATCCGTACAGCACGTATCTCTGCAGAGGCTTTCCAGAAAGCCCTCTGTCCTCACAGACTGTTGAAGCTGGATGCTGCCAGTGTCAATGCGGACCTCACTATTCCTGATATTCTCCAGGGACTGGCCACCAATAAATATTGTCAGGTAATGTGAGATTATTTCACAGTGTTTGGGAGCCACCCTTTTTTCTCTTGATATTAAAAAAATTGTTGTTGTTTTATTAAACATCCTGCAGGAGTCTCTCCAGCGACTTGTCTTAACAGGTCTGACCATGTCCTCTCTGGAGGAACCAATCCGGTATCGTTTCAGCTCCCTCCAGGGGCTCCGCTCCCTCTCCCTAGCTAATGTAGACTTCTATGACTCTGGGTTAGTCGACGTGTGTTCCCTTCCTCGGCTGGAAAGTCTTGATCTCTCCAACACCTCAGTCACTAACCTCAGTCCATTGCTGGGCCTGAAGGAGCGGCTGCGCTCTCTAACACTGCACCAGCTGAAGAGGCTCGAGATGAGCACTACTCAACTGCTGGGAGTCATCGGCCAGTTGGATGTTTTGCAGGTTAGTGTGGAAGGGTGGAGCTGAGTTTGGTGTTGTCTGAAGGAGCGGAGGAGTGTTAAACCTGTTCCAGTTAGTTTATTATGCTATAAGAAGAACACTGTTATTGTGATTACATAAGCTGCACTTGTTTACGTGTGTGTGTGTGTGTGTGTGTGTGTGTGAAATTATGCCTATGCAGCACCTAGACATCAGTGATGATAAACAGTTTACCTCTGACGTGGCTCGTCAGCTGCTTGGACAGCCGGGGATCCTGCCCACTCTTGTTTCCCTGGATGTGTCGGGGAGGAAACAGGTGTGCTGTTGAGGCATCTGTGAACATTTCTGTTAGATGTAAAGACAGCATAAGGCCCTAAAGACAAGTTGGAACATGTGTGCATGTTGCAGGTTACAGATGCAGCCGTTAAGGCTTTTGTTGAGGAGAGACCAGGGATGACTTTTGTGGGACTTCTGGCCACAGATGCTGGTTTTTCTGACTTCCTCTCTGGAGAGGGAAATCTTAAGGTAGGCATAGATGTGTACATTAACATCAGTATCTGTGTAGAAATATAAGTTTGCTAAACTGTTTTCAAACTGTGTGAACAGGTAACGGGAGAAGCCAATGAGACCCAGATCTGTGAGGCACTACGTCGTTACAGTGAAAGGGAAGGTTTTGTGAGAGAAGCTCTGTTTCATCTGTTCAGCCTGACCCATGTCATGGAAAAACCACGGCCTGATATCCTTAAGGTAAACCCACATTATTTTACTTGGACATTATGTTCTATTTCTCATTCACTTAAGGCTGTTCTTTTGTTCTGTGTCGAAGCAGAAGGTTATGAAATAAAGAATTATAATGCTTAAACAACATTAATAATATAATATCTGAACCACATATTGTATTTATCTGAAACTGTAAGTGACGGAGTGTCTGCCAGCCACATTTCCTCCTCTTAGACAGCTGTTGCAGAGTATTACTACTCCAAATCTGCACACTATACAGTAGGTTCCTCAATGGGTTCATTTAACATAAAATTGATTACTTATTCTCTTGGGTTTTCCCTAGCTGGTAGTTTTGGGTATGAAGAATCACCCTGCCACTCTGAATGTTCAGCTGGCAGCCAGTGCCTGTGTGTTCAACCTGACCAAGCAGGACCTGGCAGTAGGAATACCAGTCCGACTGTTGAGTACCGTCACTCAGCTCTTACTGGAGGCGATGAGGACGTTCCCCAACCACCAACAGGTAGCTTCATGCCTGCTGGTGGCATACGTCTTTCATGCCATATCAGTCATGATAAACAGTTTGTGATAACAACAACGAGTGTGTTAGAGACCGGTCCTCAGGTTGTGGTGGGACATGCTGTTAGTTGGGAAATATCAGAGAGGAAGATATGTACGCAATCTGTGTGAATTGCAACAACTTGAAAATTCTTATGTGGTGGGAAACATCCCACTACAACAAAAAAAAACGGGTTCCCTTTTTTGATTATTGTACCATGAATGGAGATGAAGTGTTCAGAATAACAAAGCTAAAATGTAGCCCAATGCAAAACTACTGTTACCCACTTCTAAATACAAAACTCTGTGTGACCTTCATTGACACCAAATGCAGGATGTTCTTTATTAGTTTTTGTTGAAAGTGCCACATACAGTTATATGGAATATGCATAATTACAGTACTTTATATTTGCTGTTTTTAAACATTCTCTAAAAGTAAAGTGAATGCGACTGAATAAGGAGGACAGCACACTTAAAGTGCCCATGGCATGCTCATTTCCAGCCATTTAGTGTTTAATCTTGGGTACCTCTACTGTAGATTAGCTTTGCACCCATCATAACTCCAAATTGTAATTATTTAAAAATGATAAAACCAGAGAGCCTCTTCTTTAAAATGAGAGGATAGTTCCTGAACTCACATAATTCCTGTTGCCAGTGTTGTTGAAAGTGAACAGCACAACGAAATGTAGCTGCATTCATTAATTTGAATTTCTCCTCCATAGATAGGTAAACATCGGTATATGTACCGATGAAAAGAGATGTGTAACACGCTGAACAAAGCAGGTAATTGAGAAACCCCATATTTTAACCGGCATAATGCAGACATAGTAACTTCTCCAGCCTTACAACAATTATCTCTAACGTTACAGAAACAACACATTAACAGACATGCAATGCGGGTTTTTTTTTTGATTGTTTGTTTGTTTTTTTGTTTGTAACTTGCCATTAAGTCCCACCAAGTAGTGGAAACATCACTCCCTTTCAAGTAGCTCCAAGGTCGGTAAATCCAACCGGTGGTCACTGCCTCTTCCCCCGTATGACCACATATAGTCCCAAAGTAGTGAAATTAATTCCAATAGGTATTTTAGCACTGACAATAACATCATGGGTCGTTAATCTGCTTGTTAACCAGCAACACATCACATGCAGCAGATACATTGGCCTCAAGCAGTCAAAACAAACAGGTACTGTGCTCCGGGGGAATCCAGAGTTGATGAGCTGATCATTCCCCGCTGCAGGGGTTTCACAGGCCGGCTGCTTGTAGGTTAGACTCAGTCAGGTAAAACAGCAGGTCCCTATACAAAAACATTCCTGAACATGCAGTAACCTCAGGCCCTATATGTTTCTCAATATCCTCTGGTCACAGTGCAGGCAGCAGAAGGTAAAATATATCCACAAAACCAGGCACAGTCAAAAAAATCCAGCTTTTACAATGGCACTGGTGGATGTAAGGCAGCCTCTCATGAACGCACAACCGCCTGGAGATTATGACCATTCATAGAAAGAAAAAGTCTCACAAGCGAGAGTTTGTGAGACATGAATAAACTCAGTTGCTTCTGCAATAGAAGTACTAGAACATACTACAGCAAATTTTTTTTGCTTTATGTCACATCTAATATGATAATTCACCGTTGTATCATTATAGATATGTCTAAAAGAAGGAAAAGCATGCCATGGGCTCTTTAATGTTAACCTTAACAGCATTACATACATGATGAAGTGAGAACAAGATTTTTTTTTCTTTGTCATACAAGGTCTCCAACTCAGACAATGAGAAAATATTTCTGTATGCGCATTTTACTTGGCTTGTATAACAAAACACAATTATCAGTTGTTGTTATTCCATTTTGCTGTATCTGCCAACAGCTGCAGAAGAACTGCCTGCTGTCTCTGTGCAGTGATCGCATTTTGCAGGAGGTTCCATTCAACAGGTAAAAAATATATTTTTACAATAGTAATATAATTTTGTGTAGTTATTTGCATTTGAAATGGTTACAGACTTATTTTAAAAGGACTACATGTATACTGTATAAAAGTGTAAATGTGCAACACACAAAACCAGGAAGTAAAATAACTGACAGGCTACACTGTTTTGGAAACAAATAGTTTGAGACATTTTGTATCCTGTTCCCATTTGCAAGATTTGAAGCTGCCAAGCTAGTGATGCAGTGGCTCTGCAACCATGAAGACCAGAACATGCAGAGGATGGCTGTTGCAATTATTTCCATACTGGCCGCTAAGGTATGTACTATGCTGTATTACTGCCACAGGTACTATTACTAATGCATTCTTTGCACATTTGTACAGGTTTTCTTTGCTTTTTCCAGTTGTCCACAGAGCAGACAGCCCAGCTGGGAGCAGAGCTGTCCATAGTGAAAGTAAGATTTCAATCTCAGCTTTTACAAAGTTATCAAAAAAGGCACATTTTCAAGGCATGTATGCTCTTTCTGCCCTGTAGCAACTGCTCCACATTGTGCGTCAGAAGGCAACTCGGGGCATGGTGGATGCCACCCTGAAATTTACACTCAGTGCACTCTGGAACCTCACTGATGAATCACCGGCAACCTGTCGCCGTTTTATTGAGAACCAGGGCCTGGACCTGTTCATCAAAGTTCTGGAGGTATACAGAAATGTCAATACATATGTGTAAATAAACAGAAATGGGCTAGAGCAGATTACCATTCTGGTTGATCGTCACACTTGTTGCTCTGTATAAGTATGCCTGTGGGGCAGGATGACTCACTCTTGTTTTGTCTCTGTACCTCCCCCGCTCCTACAACCCCCTTTGCCAGTCCTTCCCCACTGAATCTTCTATTCAGCAGAAGGTTCTCGGTCTGCTGGTGAGTTTTCTGCTCTCTTTTTTTACCTTTTAGAAAAAGTGAGAGTTGAATAAATTCATATCAATAGGACATCATTATTCCCTTTTCCCATTTTGTTGTGCAGAACAACATAGCAGAGGTCGGGGAGCTACATGGAGAACTGATGGTGCAGGGCTTTTTGGACCACATCAGGACTCTGCTGCACAGTCCAGAGGTAGAAGTAAGCTACTTTGCTGCAGGCATCCTTGCACACCTGACGTCACGAGGAGAGGAGGCCTGGACGCTCAACCCCAATCTTCGGTCCTCACTGCTGGAGCAACTGGTAGGAATGAGCAAAACTACTCATGCCTCATAAACGCAAATACTGTACACAGTTATTTCAAAAAGTTGGTTTGCATATCATACATTTATGTGTCTTTCTAGCACACTGTCATTATGAAGTGGCCTCCACCAGAGTGTGAAATGGTGGCCTACAGGTATGATACAGCATCGCTACTGTAATAATCCATCCATCCATCCATTTTCTAAACCGCTTAGTCCAATCTATTGTAATAATAAAGCAGCAAAACACTTTCATTATAACAGGTAGGGCCACAGCTAATGGATTTTATGACTTGTACTTTAGTAGTTGAATGATTGTTTATTCACCAGTGACAAAAATTAAGATTACTTACAGTATATCAAGCAAGTACATTTTTAAGAATTACAATATGACAAAGAATACAGATCTATACCTTGTTGGTACACAGGTTGCTTAAAGTGTATTCAGAGTTTTTTTTTTTGTTGTTGTTGTTTTTGAAACTATGAGACCAGTTTATAGACTTGACATAATAAATGTTAGAGCCTAAACCTTTCTTTACTGTCACAGGTGGAATACAGAAATGAACACCTGATGGTTCAAGAGACAGAATAACAGTCTTATAGTATCTCTGAGAGATTGATTCAAAGCATTAAATGTAAACAGGCACCTTTAAAATACAAGTCTGAAATGTTCTTTATACTTCTGTACCCGGAGCTTGACACTGTACAGCATGTTTGTGTGAATAAATCCTATTTACAGTCAAATTGTCAAAATCTTTGCATAAAGTGTGACAGTTATATTTTCTCATTATGTAGGTCATTTAACCCCTTCTTTCCCCTGTTGGAGTGCTTTCACACCCCTGGTGTCCAGCTGTGGGCAGCATGGGCCATGCAACATGTCTGCAGCAAGAATGGTGATGCACACGTACAGTCTATATTTTTGTTCTCCCCAGCTACATAAATATGAGGGTCAGAATATTAGGAGCATCTCTGAATATAATGTAGTCCAGTACACCACCACCTTTAACTATGACTTCAATAATAAACATAGAACTGAATTTATACATTCATGACAGTTTGACCAAAAAATGCAAACATTTTGAGCTTCATAAACATGGATGTTAAGGCGTAAAGGCATTGAATTGCATACTATTGTACAGGTGTACCTAATAAAGTGGCTGGCAAGTGTATGTGCACATACAAGACTGGTGTTTAGCCAGTCACAGCCTCACTGTTCCAAACTGCTCACAGATTGGATATTTTATTACCCTTTGTGTTACAGCTGCTCGATACTGCAGCATGTTGCTGGAGGAAGGTGGCCTGCAGCAGCTGGAGCACATTCACAAACACCCACAGACCCACAGAGACGTCAGACTGTTGGCCAAGAGCATTCTTGAGAGCCTGCAGCGCCACAGGGCCCGCACCGGCCAGCTTGCACAGACGCACACAAGTCGCTGCCCGCCACATCCATAACCTCACAGAGGTAATGATGCACACTAGTTATTACTGGTTATTTGTCTCAGTCTCACACTGGTTGGAAATATTTTGCTCTCATACATTTTCTCTTTCAGAAAATAAGGCTCCCCACGGAGGACATTCAGCTGTGTGCCACCACAGAAGGGGATATTGTATGAGTGCATGTGTGTGTTTCTACATGCCACACACAATACACTTTATCAAGAAGCCCTAGAACATATACAGGACAGAGACTACACAATCCTTTGCACACACGCTAACTTTATTTATTTTCTTTATGGGTTGTTTCAAAACAAGAATATTTCTGTGTGCTAATCTTATGATAGAAATAAAAATATAACTGTCAGTTAAGTTCAAATCTCAACATGAGTTTTGTGTCTGTGCTGGCTCATGTCACTCTGACTTTGGCATCATGATTTTCATACCAAAATCATGTTAATGCACATACAAATCTGAGGTGAATCTCCTAGAAGCTCTGCTGAATGTCAACACCCTTCCCACTCCTGTATGTTGCTGAGGACTCTGGTTGTCTGAATCAGGTAGCTCATTAAATATATGCATGATGTTGCTGTGAGCACGAGCATGCTGGAGTCTGTCTGAATGCACCTTATGTTCATTTTAGGAATGCCTGCTTGTTTGTTTATAGTAGAGTTCTGTTCACTGAAACCCACACCTCTGGGTCTGCAATACCACTGTTGCTCCTCTTAGTTTACTCTTTTATCAGCTGATGTCTTTGATTTGATGTGACAGGACACTTGCCAAGGGTGTGTTCAATGGGTTCAAATGTTCCAGCCATTAGAGGAAAACCCAAAATATAGAGATCATATCGCTCTAAGAAACTCGAATACTTTTCTGAATGTTTGGCAGCCCTATGTCTGCAGGAAACCCTAAATTGTATCAATGGCAAAGCCTGCATTACTGGAAATCAGAAAAGCCAGAGTAGTTGGAAATACAGAGTGCTACAGTCAGGTATGTCTGGTTAACTGCAGATGTCCTTTCTAGACACAAATGGCAATAACAAGGTCAGTATAGTCATTATGGATGTGTATTACAACACAGCTCTTTTTGGAAAAAAATATACATAGTTTGTTTCCTAATGCATCTGAGTGTCTTAAACACTGTGTGTGCACATGTATGAATTTTTCATATCAAAGAGTGTATGTAACTTATATATAATAGAAAATGAAAGAAACAGTACCTTAAGACTGGTTGAAGTGGTTGCATGGAAATTGTTCTATTGTACAAATTCATCAGGTTAAGAAATTCTTATACAAGAAAAGAGGGACAAGGAAGGGTGTGTTACTGGGAAATATTCTATATTTCTGTCCTCTGCTATAGCTAACCATGTGACATTAGTGCCATTCTGGATAGCTTTTTAACAGGTACAATTCAGTTGTCCAGTAAAGCTACTGTGTGTTGTAACACCAGACCTGGACACCCACATTCTCCTTGTTCAGCTCTTTTTAAGGCCCCGTCACCATTCTCAATGCAATTAAAACTAGTAGTGGTTTTACAAACTGCTGTCAAACCCAATAAAACCATGATACATACTTAAGGCAAAGCATGCGGTATTGTGGCTTCAGTGATAATACAGTAACTTGTCATGTGACTTGTACATAAATATATTAAAAATGGTACTAGACAACAGCTGCCAACAAAACATGCATACATTACCCTACCTGCTAAGTCAGTTACGGCCTTGTTTTCTGAAAGTTGCTGTTGTACAAGTTTGATAATCATGCATGTGACTCGTCATTTTCAACACAAGTAAAAAGCAGCACATGACATTTTTCTGGTGCTCCTTATATCTTTAATGGTTTAACTGAACCCCTGAACATCACCCTGGAGGCAGGTTCGATTCAGATCGAAGATGCAAAAAGACAAGATAGTGTAGGTCCGTTATGACTGTGCCATGTTGCTGCTGAGAGTCATGTTTTACGTTTGGAAATAAAGAATGTACATTCCCCTAAACTGGAGATGACACGTGTTGCCTTTTTATTCTGTCATTACCAAAGATGATGTCTGCTTCTCTTGTAATAGCGTTAGCAAGCTAACGTGAGGTTATAGAGGTTTGACTGGATTCTTTGTGATTATTTGATTTGATTTTATTTATTTATTCTTTCAAACATGTAACAACAGTCAGTATGTCATCACACATAATTCCAGACATGTCCACAAAAATATTTTCAATTTACTTATACCTAGTACATGCTTGAATGGAGTAGGAAGAAGTTAGACTTATCTAGTCCTACCCCCTAACATCATCTTATCATCATTGGTTTGCAAGCAGTATTACTACATGGATACATATTCTACATCCACATTCCCATCAGATTAATCATTAAGCCTGTCCTGTTCTTGCATATATCTTGATTGACACATACCTTTATATCTGTGTTTAAACTCATCAATATTCTTACTGCTTTTTATGTCCATACCTAAATTATTCCATAGTTTTACTCCACTTATCGAAATACAGAATCTTTTTTTGGTTGTACGTATAGCATGAATTTTATAATTTAACTGACCCCTTAGATTGTATCCCCCTTCCCTTTCATCAAATAGTTTTTGAATACCACCAGGTAATAAATTATCAAGAGACCAGTTGGCTCCCATGGGCCCACCACCTGCAAGAGGATCCATAAGGGGCTGGTGCACAGTGGATCTGGCAGCAGTCGAAGGCAGGGGCCCCGACGACCCGATCTCTGGACACGGAGACTC